GTTTTAGTACTAAAACTGCCAGCAGCAAGGGAAGCTTCCACTTTAGGCAGAAGCTCAGTGTGTTTTGAGGCTCCAGGCCTTCTTGCCTGCTCCCCTGGGAGGCGTCGTCTCTTCCTTGCTGCTCCCTAGATGGTGGCTGTTTGGCTGTGGCAAGCAGAACGCTGCCCCACTGTCAGGGATCTGTGTCCACCCGGCTTGTCCTCTCTATGCCTTGGCAAGGCTGGGGACTCCGGTCTTGTGTGAGGATTAAGTGGTGGAGACGTCCAGGTAGGGACCCGGCAAGTTCTGACAGCCGGAGGAGTCAGGGCAGCCCACTCTCATCTCTTCCTTGCCTTGTCTGAGGCCTCAGGGTGGCTCTGCTTTCTCCACCCTGGCCTCAGTTTGCCCTTTAAGGGCTGGGTGTGGTGGTGGTGAGGAGAATTAGGGGTTCTGTGAAACAGCCTCTGAGGAGCCCTTGCATCCTCTGCTCATACTCTTACTGTCTGAAAAGTTTTTCATCCTTGTAGTTTTGATTCTCACTGATTTGTGTAGCCACAGCCATGGTTGCCAGTGGATGTCGCCATCATTATAGTTTCTTGACCTTGTACCGTGTGAGCGTGTGCATGCCTGGGGGGCAATCCCAGGGTCTTGTGTGTGTTAAGTAGTGCTCTGCTGCTGAACTGTACCCGACTGCAACACTTAGTAGCATTTTAGTTTTGTGGTTTCTGTGTTTGCCATCTGGGACTAGAAGCAGCTCACTGGCCGGGACCTGGGGCACAGCCAGGGGACCCTGGCTTCTCCTCAGGTGAGCCCCCTCCCTAGCTGTCCATGCTCTATCAGTAGGGCCTGTCGGAGCTGTGGCTAGTTTATTCAAGGCCCTAGCCAAATCTGAGAATTTACCAGGTCCTGCTTGACTGGCTTGGCACCTCATGGTCAGAGAAATTGAAATGTACCCCTTAACCTAGGAAGCATGGCTGGCAAGAAGGCTGTAGGTTGTTTATCTGAGAAGTGCTTCTCAGATTGCTTAAAAAAAAAATTTTTTTTTTTTTTTTTTTTTTTTAGACAAGGTCTCACTATGTAGTTGAAACTGACCTGGATCTCAAACTCAGCCCAGGCTGGTCTTGAACTCACAGTGATCCTCCTGCCTCAGCCTCCCGAGTGCTGGAATTGCAGGCGTGTGCCACTACACCCGGCTTTCAGTTTGCTTAAATGTAAAGCCTGGTGTCAGACCGGATTTTGAGACTCTCATGTTATAGGCCGTGAAGATCTTGTGGGCCAGGTGGGGACAGGGAATCCCTATGAATCCTTTCTCATCCTAAACTGGATGCAGAGGTGCCCGGGGCATCTCTGGGTGGGTGGCCCTGACTTTGCTGCTTGCTTGGTCTTCACTGGAGTCTCCAGACATGGATTCAGACATTGCCGGCTGACCTCAGTCACCTGTTTCCCTGTTTTCCATTGCCAATCTGGAGGACCCTTGGGGATAAATATGAGAGAGGTCATCTGAGGCCATAGGTCTGTCCAGCTGGAGTGGGACAGCTCATGGGGTGCTCCTCTGTCCTGAGCAGGCTCCCGGTTCCTGCACCCAAGACATACCAGAGTGCCACATGCGTGCCTTCCTTGGTAGGCAGGGGATTACAGGTGAGGACTGCGAGGCTCTGGCCTGCTCCTGTGTGTGGCCTTTGATTAGAGCTCTGCAGCAGTGCTTGTTTCTGCCTACTGCACAAGTAGTCTCAGGCTGTGGGAATGTGGCTCAGAGGTAAAGTACTGCTTAGCATGCACAAGGCCCTGGGTTCCATCTCCAGCACCAATGGGGAAAAATGAACCAGGCATGGTGGTACACGCCTGTAATCCTAGCACTCTGGGTGGCTGAGGCAGGAGGACTGCAAGTTCCACCCAATTTAGCAACTTAACAGGACCCTGTCTAAAAATACAAAAAAGTCTGGGTAGGTACCACCAAAACAAAATAAAACAGAAAAGATACATTTGTCAGTTTCATCTTGGACTTTACAATAAAAAGTTACTGTATCTTCTTCCACTGTGGCTTTTGTTTGGTTTCAGGACCTTAAATTCTTTTGTTTGTTGTTGGGTTTTTTTTTGATCCAGGGGTCCAACTTGGGGCCTTGAGCTTTGTGAGGCAGGTGTGGTGCCACTGAGCTAAATCCCTATCCCCTTAAGATCTTTTCCCCCACAGGCCTAGATCTCCGTTTGTATAGAGTGGATGCCATTCTCTTTTTGTGCTCTTGATACAGCCAGGAGAGAGGCCAACCCATGTGGCACCTCCTGGGAGGTGGCTTGGTGAAGATGGAGCTGGTAGCTGTGAGAACTTCCTGTGATGTCCTGCGAAGGTGCAGTGGTGCCTCTGCATTTGTGTCTTTTTGTGATCTTCCGCATGAACTCCCCTTATTTCCCTAGACCTGGTAACTCAGCTGGCCTCGCTCCAGTTCCCCCGCAGGTGTCATCCCAGGGAGCTGCTGTGTGCTTCCCAGTCACCGGTCAAAGCCATGGTGTCTTTCGGGGGAGACTGCTGGGAATGCCAGGCAAGTCCCACTTGTGGGTCTCCCTCCACTCAGGAGCCTTCACGGCAAAGCAACACCTATCCTCTTGTGCAAGTTGGGCACCTCTCATGGGGTCAGTGAGATACTGGGCTGCATCCAGGGACGTGGCTTATGTGTGGGCTTGGCCCTGCCTCTGACGTAGGCTGGCTTGGAGCTCTGGACCCTGGAGCAGCAGTGGTCAGACCATAGCATTTTCTCCTTCGGTGGCATTGACGTGTGGGTGCTCCATTTGGCTGGCTGTTGCGGGTTTCCCTTGTCCAGAGTTGGACTTGATGGATGCTCAGGGCCACTCCTGAGTGGGTCTGTGGAAGGGTCCTCAGGTTTGACCCTTGTGCTTCAGAGAGTGGATTTGGAGCGGGCAGTGCTGCCTGGGGTTTCCACTCGGGTCCTCTCCACTGCCCATGTGGCTTGCGTGTCTTGGCTCCCGGCTGTGAGAGGAGGGTGAGCGCATGTGTCTGGGGTGGTGGATGCCTTGGCTCCGCTGAGCTGGGGCGAGGCAGGCCAAGGTGGAGGTCTTCACATGCCGCTTCGGTCTCACCATGCAAAGCGTCTCCAGTGTGTTTTGTGCACTTACTTGGGAAGTGGCGGGGTGGACTGGGTGGTAGCGGAGCATGGAGGGGGCAGCGCTGGGCAGGGAGTGGATTGGAGAGCCCTGGTCAGTGCTGTGACCAGTGTACAGTCTTTGGCCCCAGAGGGTGAAAGTGATGCATGTGGCTCTACCTGCCCTGAAGACCTGCTGAGTAATTAGAATAAGGGAGCGCACATAGAGTGACCCCTCCTGCCCAGGCTCTGAGACAGGAAGTAGAGAGGAAGGGGAGGGAATGGGACGGGTGCTCGTGGAATGGGGTTTCAGTTTTACCTGAGGAAAACCTTGGACATGGATGGTGAGGGATGTGCACTGATGCTGAATGTTTTGATGTTGCTGAACTGCATACTTAAATGTGGATAAGATGTGAATTTTGGGGCTGGGGATTTAGTTCAGTGGTTCCACAACCTGCCTCGCAAGTGCAAGATCCCAAGTTGGGTCCCTGGTACCAAAAAAATAAAAATAAAAATAAAAATAAAAATAAATTTTATGTTATGTACATTTTATAATAAATAGAACTGCCGGGCAAGGTGGCACACGCCTGTAATCCCAGCACTTAGGAGGCTGAGGCAGGAGGATCGCTGTGAGTTAGAGACCAACCTGGGCTACAGAGAGTTCCAGGTCAGTCTCAACTAAATAGTGACACCCTCTCTCAAAAAATCAGAAAACAAAAAACAAAATAATAATAAAAATTTAAAAATGTATAATAAATTGAACTTTTCTAAATTCGAAAGTACCCTGTGTTCTCATGAAATCCCTTCAAATCTTGGCTGGGAGAGGGTGAGAGGTGCTTACGATGGGGCCTGTGTCGTCCAGGTCCAGAGGTCTAGAAACAGGCCAGTGGTTCCAGAGGGCTTATTGTAACACAGCTTGGGAGGGAGTGCTGGAGTGCAGAGGTTCCGAGGGGCTCTTCACTGTGGGGATGGGGCCTGGGTACCCTTCCTCCAGGTTAGTGGGGTGACCCTAGGACTCCCGTAGTCTTCAGAGAAGGCAGGAGTGCCTGAGCTGTCTGGTGCACTGCTTGGGGATTGCAGGCGTTTTTGCCTTTCCCGTCACCAGGAGCCAGTGTGTCGGGTGTTCTCACAGAAAGGAGTGGGGCCTTTGGGGAGGGTCTGTTTGTCTTCCATGACCTCCTGTACAGGCGGCTGCCCTTCACAGCGCACACTGCTGGATGCCCTCTTCCTAAGTTCAGTCTGGCCCTGTCCACACTCGCCAGCCCCCCTTGGTTTTCCTTGTGCTTCTGACTAACTGGCTGCACACACGACCCCTTCACAGTGACCCCTTCTCGGGTTTGGTAAGTTTGCCACAGTGGGTCCCAGGACTCAGGGAGGTGATGTGCTTGCATCTCTGTCCTTGCACAAAGGACACAGAGGGAGAGAGAGGGCCAGGCGTGTTGAAGGGGTGGGAACTTCTGTGGGCACTCCGGGGCACCGCCTCTAGGAATGGCTGCATGTCCCCCACCAGGAAGCTCCCCAAACCCCATCCTTTAGGGTTTCATGGGGCTCATTAAATAGGCAGGAGGAATGCCATCCCCAGGCATGGGTGACCAGCGACCCTGCTCCCCTCCCTTCTCTTGGTCCACCCTCACATTGAACAACCCCTATCTGAAGCCACTTCCGAGTAGCCGTAGTGTCTGCAGGACAGGATCACTTTGGAGACTCTTGGGATCATAGGAGACCAGATAGGTAGTTCATAGTATCTCAAGGAGAAACCAGTTTTTAGATTCTCCTCATTAGCAGGAAAGTTACTTCCTTTTTTGTGACATTTCCTTTAGGTGTCCTTTGATATTACAACACACTGCCTCCTCAGTGGATTCAATCTTAAAACACTTCTAAAGTGCTGGGGACGTTGGTCTCTTGACATTGAAAGAACGAGGTTTCTGCATTTTTGAACTGTGTGGATGGCCCAGGCCGCTGCTGATGAGTGAGGGTGGAAACTCTGGAAGGACCACCTAGGTAGGAGCTGCCAGGCTCTGAGGAACACCATGTTGGCTGTCCCTGGAGTAGCGAGCGGTAAGTGCCATTGGCCTCTGTGGGAGGTCTCTCCTGGTGCTGGGGCTGTCACCTGCTCCACAGGGGAGTCTCGAGTCCCGAGGGGCTGCCCAAGGGGGTCCAGGCATGTGGGCCGGCGCCCGCCCAGGGGATTTGGATTTTGTTAGCCGCTGGGAGAATTGGGCACGAGTACTTTAACCCATGCTGAGGAAAGGGGCTCTGTTGGTGGCCGAGGCAGGGCCTTCGAGTGAGCAGGGTGCCCCATCTGTGCCAGGACTGTACCCAGAGGGTTGGGGACAATGGCATGGAACTCAGCAGTAAGACGGCGGCAAGTGCAGTGTGGGCACTGCTGGCCCTGGCACAGCTCTTATGCTGGCAGCTAGAGGGAGGAGCCCTGCTAGACTCACGGCCTCCGGGCCTCTGGGACCTTGGAGCAAGCAAGGAGGCGCAGCTGTGGGCAGCACATTGCATACCCTGGGGGCTGTGGCCTTGCCTATCTGCACAGTGCTGCTTCCTGGGGTTGACTTGCTGTTCTCATTAAGGATGATTTTATATTTATGTCATGCGCTTTGGTCTTGAGTTGGTGGCGGAAATGTCGTGGTCAGCTGTGGTTGGGTATTGATGGTACATAGCAGGCACCATGCTGCCCTTTCCCTCATGGGCTTGCAGGCTGTGTGGAAGAGAGCCTAGTGGGGTACCGTGGGCCCCATTCGTAGAGCACCTGCGAATTGGGAATGACTGTGTGAATTTCAAATATGGTCAGAAAAATGCCTGTAAATGTGATTTTTATAGTTTAAGCCTTAAGTATGCTCCAACTCCCGCAGTTGTGTAATTTAATTTAATAAAATACTGTGTTAATAAAGCCTCAGAAGGTGCAGGGTGTTTTGGCGGCATCTGAGGGATCTTTGAGATTTAAGAACAAAACCAAGAACATTAGATACAGTTATGCGCGGTGCAGCAAGCTGTTACGGTTCGGGAATGCCAGTGCTTGTGCCCGAGATGTGTTACAGGGCAGCAGCCAGTCGGCAGCAAGGAGAAGTGCAGAACATTGTTGGGTTGGCCACGTGCAGATGTCCCACTAAAAAACAGTTACGGAGAATATTTGGGGTTCTGAGAACAATCATGAGGTTCTAAGGAGAAATCTGCGTGTGAGTGAGGCCAGGAACTCAGAACCGTGACTTCGAGGAGGTGTGCTATACTAGATGTCAAATAGGAAGTTGCAGCAAGTGAAGGTTCCGTGTTCAAAGTGACAGGTGGTCAGTCCACGGTGCTGGAAAGGGGGGTGGGTGGGAAGAGCTTGCCTGAATCGCAGGCACATGAACGAGTTCTTTTTTTTGGTACCAGGGATCAAACTTGGGTCCCTCTGCTTGCAAGGCAGGTGGCAAAACCACTGAGCTAAATCCCCAGCCCAGGCACATGAATGAGAAAGATGAGTAGGTAGGAAGGGAAGAAGGAAAGACTCTTCTGCCCTTGGTCACAGCATGTGCAAAGGCCCAGTGATAGAGGCAGGCAGTTAGGCATGGTGGCCTGAGGAAGTGAGAAGAGGCTAGGTGATGGCAAACATGAGCATGGTATGTGTATGCAGGGTGCATGCGTGCACCGGGGGCAGAAGTGGGGAGGGACTTGAGGGCCGCTGTGACCCGAGGGTGGAGGTGGGGGCAGCAGCCTCAGGAGTGGCTGTGTGGGCTAGATGATCTGTCCTTCACCAAGGCTGTGGTTACCGTGGCCGAGGGGGACAGGTCACCAAGGGTCTCGAGGCACATACCACTGGCACCCCAGCGGAAGTCTGGCTTGAGAGTGGAGGCCAGGACCCTGCAGCTGCACAGCATTGGCTCTGGTTGCCACGGATGGGCTTGTGTGACCAGTCTCTGCGCTGGCTCCTTGGCCCCCTGGGTCTGGTGTGCGGCAGAGTCAGCTCTCCTGCTCCTTGGGGATGTGGGGTTAATGAGGCTCTGCCCCAGGGAGAGCAGGCACTGCTCACGTCCTTGGGGACCCGCCGGGAGGCTGGGAGGCTGTGCCTGGACTTCTGTCAGTGCACTGTGCTGTCCCTTGCCAGGGTCTCCTGTCCCTTCCCCGGCAGCTGTTTATGTCAAGTATATCCAGCAGGGCGAGGTCTCCTCCTGACCATGGAAGGAGGGTGGTGGTCCTGCTGTCAGGCCTTACCTTGTCTGTCCTCATCGCTCAGCTCTGGCATCGTGACAGAGAAGCCACAGACAGCGTGTTCTGGGTGTGGCTGTGCTCCAGAGAAACCAAATAGTTGGCAGGCGATAAGGTGCTGGCCTCCACGTTAGGGAACTGAAAGTGGGCTGGGGCGCACTTCAGTGGTAGTGCGTGTGCCTGGCATGTTGAGGCCCTGGGGTCCATCCCAGGTACCCCCACCCAGTAAAAAAGAAAACGTAATTTTCTTGAGGGGGGCGTTGAGACACAGGGTCTCACCATGTAATTCAGGCTGTCCTCAAAATCATGGAATCCTCCTGCCTCAACTTCCTGAATACTGGGATTACAGGTGCGTACCGCCGTGCTGCACTCAGGGAATGGAATCTTTGGCCCACACTAATCTTGGGAGCAGCATGACTCCAGCCATACCCAACAGTTGCCCTGCCTTGGTTTCTCCCTTTCTGGTCTGCCTGAGTATATTCCACTTCTTGACACGGAGGCCATGTAGTTGCTATGTCTGCCTGTCCCAGTCTGTGCAGGACACGTGGACTTTGCTCCTATGGGAGGGTGGGAGGAGGTGAACATTGCTGCAGGGACTCGTCTTGGACTCTGTTGGGCCTAACGTCGCCTTCCCAGGACTGGATGGGAGCCAGGGTGGTAAATATTTGGGTACAGACCTGGTTGAAAAGTTTTAGCGACAGCAGTCGTGTTGGCGAGTGCAGATGTGCTGGGAGAATGGAGGTGTGTAGCAGCCTGTGCTGGCCTGGCCTCCCCTCAGGGCCGCCCCAGGACACTCACTGTCTCGCACCAGCCACAAGACTTCTCGGGACCTCCTCAGGCGGATGCTGCCTGGCTGGTCTGCTGTGAGGCTTTTTGTTTCTGAGACAGGGTCTAGGGTCTTGCTGTGTCATCCAGGCTGGCTTGGTTCTCACTGTGTAGCTCAGGCTGGCCTCAAACTCAAGGCAGTCCTCCTGACTCAGCCTCCCAATTGTGGGGTGACAGGCATGCGCCACCGTGCCCCAGAGTTAAGAGCGTTTACTGGGGAGAGGATAAAATGGCAGCAGAGGACCTGTGCTGGTCACGTTGGATGACGGGACGTGGTGTAGATTGCTTTGGCTCCCTCCTTCTCCAGCGTGTTCTTCCCGCATGGGGAAGTGGCCTTGTTGGGCGGGGTGCTGTGTGAGGCTGTGAGTGCAGTACCCAGGTGCAGGGTCAGAGCCAAGCCATAATGATTTGTCAGGGGAACTGCAAGTGCTTGTGAGTTGGTAATTGTGTACTTAAGGGTTACTTGATACTGTTTTAGATGTACGGGTTGGAAATAAAAACAGTAAAAGCTCTCTGAACCCAGCTAGTGGGAGGTGGATGGCAAAATAGTGCAAATGATGTATCAATGAAAAGCGATTGCAGTTTATTTTCAAGAAATGCTCCTCCTCCTAAGAATGCTAAGTGGTCCGCGTGGTCTGGCTCCTTTGTGAGTTTCCTTAATTGTGCAGGGGACCGCTGCCCTGGGCTCCGCTGGTGTCCTTTAGCATCGCCGTCCCGGCTGGCTCCTTCACTCAGACACTGACTGAGCGCCGAGGAAGGCTCACAGCCCTGCCCTGCAGCGGGTCCCTGAGGGGGTAGAGGGGCTGCCAGCTGCCAGGGTGAGTTCCCCTCCCACTCCTTCCTCCCGCCGCATCTGAGGGAGACTGAGGGGCTGAGCGCGGCTGGATGTTCATTGGTATTAAGGGATTATTAGATTTTTAGATGTGACAGTGGCCTGGTAGCTTTTTTTGGTTTTTTTCCTCTGTAGTGGAGATTAAACCCAGGCCCTTCACACTGAGCTACATCTTCAGCTCTTACTTTTTGAGACAGGATCTCCCCGAGTTGCTGAGCTGCCCAGGCTGTGCTCAAACTTGTGATCTTTTCAGCTCTTTTGTTTTGAAACATGTCTCGCTAAATTGCCCAGGCTAAGCTTGGACTTGTGATCCTTCTGCCTCAGTCTCCCAAATGGCTGGGATTATAGGCATCTACCATCATGCCTGGTGGTACTTAGGTTTGTTTGTTGCTGTTTTTATCCTTAGACATGGCCTTGCTCTGTTGCCTGCACTAGCCTTAACCCCTGGGCTCGGGTGTTTCTCCTGCCTCAGCCTCCCAAGTATCAGGGACTATGTACATAAGACCATAGCACCAAGTTTGTGGAGTCATTGATTTTGAAATGCCATAGTCCCTGGCATTTTGTCTAAAACAAGAGGCTCCTCTGGAGGATGTTCCTGTGGTGTAGGAGGCATGGCCAGGAGGCCAGTGCAGCGACAGGGGAGTAGGTAAAAGTTGGGGATGGTTGGAGGATGGGTACCAGGTGGACCCCAGGGTCAGGAGAGCACAGAGCCCAATACTGGGTCAACTTTGGGCCAAGAGCTTCAAGCAGAGCCCAGCTCAGAGGCCTCTGTCCCAGGAGGGAGGGCCACGTGGCCAGCGGCAGTGTGGGCAGTGTTGGGGCTCAGGTGCTTGCAGCTGCCATGCTGGGTGGTGAAGATACGCTCTTTTTTTCTTCTCCACCTCCCCACTCCTCCCTTTTCTGCCCCTCCCCCATCTCCCTCCCTTCCTCTTTTTTTGGTACCTGGGATCAAACTGGGGACCTTGCGCTTGCGAGGCAGGCAGTGGAACCACGGAGCTACATCCCCGGCCCTCTTCCTCTTTCTTTTTGAGACAAGGTCTTGCTGTGTAGTTCTGACTGGCCTTGAACTCATAGTGATCCTCCTCCCTCAGCCTTCTCAGAGTGGGAACCACCATGCTCGGCTTGTCACTAATAATTATTATTTTTTTATTTTGGTACCGGGATTGAACTTGGGACCTTGTGCTTGCAAGGCAGGCAGCAGAACCACTGAGCTAAATCCCGGCCCTTGCCACTAATTATTAATATCTTTTGTGTGTGTGGTAATGGGATGGAATCCAGGGCCATCACACTGAACTACATCCCTAGCTCTTTTTCCTCACTCCTAGTCTTGCTAAATCCGATAGGCAGGGCTCCAACTAGTGATCCTCGCATCTCAGCCTCCCAGAGAAAGGGGCTGCAGTGGTGCACCACCATGGCTGGCGGTGTGTGTGTGTGTGTGTGTGTGTGTGTGTGTGTGTGATTTTAATCTGAGTAATTGGAGAAGAATGGGTTTGTCACAGCTGGGGAGAGCTGTGGCAGAGCACGAAGGTTTCCTGCTTCTTTCATAGAGCTTGTGCTTGTGCTGTGCCCTGGTGCACTGTGGTCATGTGGGGCAGTTACCCACAAGTGCATGGATGTGCTGTTTGTTGAGCTACTTGGTTTGTGTCTGTGTCACAGTTTTGATTATTGTAGCTTTATGTAAGTCTTGAGATCTGTAGTATGTGTCTCTCAAATCTGTTGGCCCCTCTTTTTTATGATTCTGGGTCCTTTCTCTTTTTTTGGTGTTAGGGGTTGAGGTCTGGGCCTTGCTCATGCTAAGTGTACACTCTAATACTGATCTATGCCTCCAGCCTCCCCACAAATGTTAGAATCAGCATATCATTTCTATAAAAAAAAAGTCTACAGGTTTTTTTTTTGTTTTGTTTTTTGTTTTGTTTTTTTTTTTGGTGCCAGTGATTGAACTCGGGACCTTGCACTTTCAAGGCAGGCAGCAGCAGCACTACTGAGCTAAATACCTGGCCCTCTGTGGGGTATTTTTGTTTGTTTGTTTGGCTTCTTTGAGAGAGTCCCCCTATGTAGTTCAGGATGACCTTAAACTCTGTAGCACACTGATCCTCCTCCTGCCTCAGCCTCCTGAGGGCTGGAATCATAAGTATGCACTACCATGCACAGCTATGCTAAGTATCTTTTTTTTTTTTTCTTAAAGAGACAAGACAAGGGGTAGGGATTTAGCTCTGATTCCTCTACTTGCCTCACTAGTACAAGGTCTCAAGTTTGATCCCTGATACCCCCCCCCACCAAAAAAAATGGAGTGTGGGTGCTCAGAGGTAGGAGACAACTATGCGGAGTATTTTTTATTGGTTTTGGTTTTGTTTTTTTTCTTTGTTATGGGAATCAAACTCAAGACCTTGCGCTTACGGTTTGGTTTGGTTTGGTTTGGAACTAGGGATTGAACCCAGGGAGAGTTGGGTTCAATCCCCGGCCCTTTCATTTTTTGAGACAGTTCTCACTGACTTGCCCAGGCTGGCCTTGAATTCATGATCCTCCTGCCTCAGCCTCCCAGGTAGTTGAGACTGCAGGCGTGGCCACCATGCCTTGTGTGAGGTTTGAGCTCTAGTAGGTTACTACTGTGTAGAATCACAGCTGACTTTGGTATGATTCCGGTCCTTGCCTTAAGGATAGGGTTGTACCCTGCCAAATCCATAGTCATTAGCAAACATAGTAGGTCGGAGGTGTGTGGACCCCACCTACCTGGGCAGTGTCCTGGATCAGCAGCATGGCAGCCTATCCCTTGTCGGTGGTTTGCCTTTGTGATGCCACTGCCCCATTTGTGACACAGGGCAGGGCCGTGTACTGCCAGCCCTGTGGTGGGGCTCACACCCGGAGTTTGCAGGGTGCTTTCTGTCGACCTTCTGTCATGTCTGGACCATGGTGGGCGCGAAGCACAGGCCGGCTGTTGCGGGTGCACTGTCGGAACCGATCGCGACAGAGCAGAGTGGGGTGTGGGGTGCTCTGCAGTCCACTTCTGGCTCCCCCACCAGATCGGGGGTACACAGGGTGAGGATGAGTGGCACCCCGGCGCCCGTTGGGCTTCTTGGCCCAAGTGGAATCACATAGCAACAGCAAGGGTGCTTCCTGAGGAGCTGCACTTGCTGTGTCCCCAGCCACCTGGGCCTCCTTACGTGGTGCTGCGTGCTGTGTGGTGCCCAGAGGCCTTCCCAAAGGTGTGCGCTGCTGTCCTTATTTCACAAGTTTTCCTGTGGGAGTGCTTCTTGCCATCTATGAGTTGTGAATTGCTGTGCACCTAGTTTAAAAATAAAGGTTTCCTTGTAACCACTTGGAAGTGTGACTTACAGGACTCTGTGTCTCACACAGTGCCTTGCAAATAGTACTTAATAAATATTTATAAAAAGAAAGGTTTCCTAACAGAGCCAGCTCCTGGTAGTCAGGTGGGTGCGAGGATGAGACGGAGGTAGCGTTGACACCCTTCAGCGGGGAGTCCAAACCAGTGCTGGAGGGCCTGGGACCATCGAGATGGAGCCCAGGGCTTCGTGCATGCTCAGCCTCGCTCTGTACCATTGAGCTGCACCCCAGTCTTGCGGATCGGTGCCAGGGGAGGTGGTGACAAGGAAACTTGGAGGGAAGAGCTGGATGCACTCTTGGCTGCCACCTCCATGCTCTGTGACCCTTTGTCAGCATGTCCGCCCCTGCCCTGTGAGGTAGCACACTCCTGTGACCGCCCCTGAGGTTGTCTAAGGGTTCAGGGCTACACAGTGCTGTCCACTGGCCACAAGCACGGGGCACCCTGCAGCAGCTGTTGAGGCTGGCAGCATTTGTTATTAACGCCAGTGCTGTCAGAACAGAACCTGGAGTCACTCAGTTCTGTGTTCGGTGTCGAAAGTTTGCAGGGCCCTGGCTCAGGACGTGCATGTGGCAGTGCGGCACCTTCACATCTTCATCCAGAGTTGTGGAGGTGGCGTCTGGGCAGTTGGGCTTTACTGCTTGTCCCAAGCTCAGTTCATACCTCACATTTGATAGGGACTCATTGGGGATCGCAGCAGAAGCAAACCTGGTAAAAACCTGAAGTTCAGCTCTTCCAGTGGTGGGAGGCACTGTAAACTGCCAGCGTGTGCCAGACCCTTCCTCGGAAACTCAGTATTTCTCTCTGTCCTTTGGTTTAGGTTGGTCAGTGCACTGGTGTGAGTTGCCTTTTGACGTAGCTGAAGCCATGGCCCACTGCTAAGACCCAAGTGTCCTGTACCCCACGGGCAGGTGAGTGCTGGGGTCAGTATCTGTGCAATGAGGAGCTCCAGCTCGCCGCCCCCGCAGGCCCCATTCAGCGCTGTGGACGCCTGGCCAGCTGCTGCTTCGGATGCTGGTAGCCATCTCTGGAGAGGACAGGGAGGTAGGGCCCTGTCGCTGCCCTCGCGCGAGTCGTTGTGCTCCTTGGCCTCTGTTTGAAAGCCGAGGCGGATCAGTGGGAGAGGATTGTCCGGGCTGGCTGGGTGGCTTTTGCCTCCGGCTGTTCTGTGGTTTCCCAGCACTGCCCCGAAGGCTTAGAAGTTTCCTTGCTTGCTCACAGCACAGGGCCCTGCGCTGGTGCTTGGCACAGGTCCCCTCTCGTGGGAATCTGAGCCTCCCTGTGTGAGCTCCCACATGGGGACACTGCCAGGAGCCATCTCAACCCAGAGAGCCTGTGTGGCCTTTCCCTGCTACCCGAGGGCCTGGCCCAGGGCTGCCTCCCTAGAGAAGGCTGTGGAGTGGGGAGCTGTCTGCTGCCGATGGCAGGCTGTGACACATTGCCTGGCCCAGGGATGGCCCCAACTCTGAGTGCAGTGCTGACAAGCGGCGGCTCAGTTCTATGAGGAGTCGGTGCTTACCTGCACGCGCTAGGTAGTGGGGTGGTCATGTAACCTTCCGCCTCGAAGACAGTCGCATGGCACCCTCCCAACAAGACCAAGCGTTCTGGGACTTTAAAAAGTTTTTTGTTTTGAGGTACAATTTGCATATCATACATTGTAGCACTTTAAAGGGTAGTTTTCAGTGGTGTGTTTGGTATGAGTAAAATTGTTAAACCATCGCTACTCTTTAATTCTAGTTTTATCGACCCCGAAAGAAACCACACGCCTTATCAGTGCCCCTGCCCCCATCTCCAGCCCCTGGTGACCGCTTGCTAGCTTTCTGTCTTGGGATTTGTCATCCTGGATGTCTCTTATCATTGAGATTGTACATGAGACTGTACAGCCTTTTGCGTCTGGCTGCTTCTGTGCCGCTTTCAGGGTTGATCCACATTGCACAGTGTGTTCGCACCTCATTTTTCAGACTGAGTAATATTCTGTATAGCTAGGCCCCCACTGTGCTCCGCATTCACCCACGGATGCACATTTGGGTTGTGTCTGCTCTCTTGCTAAATGTGAGTAGTGTAGCTTTTTACCGTTCATGCCCAAGGTTTTGTTGGAATACCTGTGTCTGTTCATCTGGGCATCTTCCTAGGAGTGGACTTGCTGGCCATAACTTAGCTGTGTGTTAAACTCTTCCTGTCACTGTCAGGTTTCTGTGCAGCTGCACAATTTCATATTCCTGCAGCTGTGCACCCGTCTCTCCCAGCTCTTTGGAGACCAGGACAGACTCACAGTCCCTGCCAGTGTCCAAAGAATCTGGTGTGCTTTCACTGTCGTTGCCCAGTGCCAGCCATCAGCTGAGGGAGGGGAGGACAGGGACATAGTGCTCATGCACAAAGCCCACCTCCTTCCTGGGGTGGAAGCACCCATGGCCAGGGACTGAGTGACTCCCTGTCCTGCAGCCCAGGGTGTTGTCTGCGAGCAGGGGCCGGCACATGGCTCTCCCAAGTCCCCGGCAAGGGCGGCAGTTCTTCACCAGCTCGTGAGCACGTGCCCAGAGCGCAAAGCACTGGCTGAGTGGAGGAGATGGTGACAAGGGAGGACAGTCAGTAGCCACGGCACGTGAGGCCGGTGTCACAAGGGCAGCACCACCCCCTGTAGTTATTTTTCAGAATTTATAAATATGTCAGCTTGTGTGCTTCTGGTGGTGTTCAATTCAAAACAGCATGTGGATTGATTTCAGGTTTTCTCTATAGAATTCCAGTTTGGCCCCTCTTGGGTGTGTGCCAGCCCGTTACCCACCTTTGGTTGAAGCTGCGCTGCAGCCCGTGGTCAGCTGGGGTGTCCCTGGCCCCACCCTCCCACAGGGCAGGCTTCCATGGCCCAGCAGCCCCCTCCCTTCTGGGGCACACAGCAGACCACACACAGCACACACAGCACGCACCCGCGTGCAAAGAAAGGTCGGCCTCCCTGCGTTGGTTCACAGGTATGGTGTTTGCACCTGATCTCGCTTCTCAGGGGTCTTGTTTTTTTTTCAGCACACTACTGTGTGCTGAGTGTCGAGGGCATACGTGGGTGTGGTTTACAACAGCAGGCACTTGACAGAGCAAGTCTGCGAATGACTGTTGACCCAGAGTGTGAGTGGTGCCTGTCTTTCGGACGGTCACAGTCCTGGGTGCAGTGGCACACTGTGATCCTAGCATTTGGGAGGCTGAAGCAAGAGGGTCACAAGTTCTATTCCAGCCTGGGCAATTTAGGGACTTGGCAAGGTCCTGTCTCAAAATACAAACTGAAAAAGGGCTGAGAATGTAGCTCAGTGTGAAGGCCCTGGGCTCAATCCCACATGCCACAAAACAACCAGCCAACCAGAACAGAGCAAAATGGGAATCCCCTCCCATCTCACCCCCAGGATGCTTTCTGGTGGAAAATACCAGAAGTGGACCTTGTTCCACTGTAGTTGCTTCTGGGGATGTTGGAGTGGGATTTGCAAATCCCTTCTCCCTGCGATTCAACTTCCAAAAATCGATCCCCCAAAATATGAAGGATTGTAATCGGGCTCTTTGTTACCACACTCAGAACTAGCAGAGCTGAGAAGGGTGGGCACCTGGTGCTGATGGGGAGGCCTCGAGGGGTGTGGGGCCGAACTCTGGGTGACAGGAGGGAGAGGATGCAGTGTGCTGTGGTGACGGGATTTCCAGGTGAAACGAGTGGGAAAAGGAACAAGGTGAAGGAAGAGGAAGATGTTTGTGCTGTCACTTACCTAAGGATAGGAGCAGGGACAGTGATGTGTGTTTACTGCCTGATTGCTTGGGAAACTTGAGGACTTGTAGTTTTGACTTGAGGGAAACAATACTAGTATTATTGTTGTTGCACATTGTAGGAGAAAGCAAATGAGAATGTCTTTAAAACCAGGATTTTCAGCAGTGAAGAAAAGGCAGATAAAAAATCACAGCACTAGAGTAAAACATACACCGAATTCTGAATCTGCATTGAGACTGTCATGACTGTAAGGCCCTGCCTGGACTCCTTCAGAGAGGCCCACAGAGCCCTCTGGCCAAGGGTGGGAGGGCGACAGGAACAGGAACAAGTCCCTCAGTCAGAGGTATTATAAGTGCAGCCACTTCAGAGGCTGAGGTGGGAGTGTCACTGCAGTCCAGGAGCTTGAGGCCGGCCTGGGTCTCTCAGCAAATGAAAAGATTCTTGGGCTCATGTTGGTGCTCGAAGGAAAGGAAGAAACTCATCAGTTCCCTTCAGAGGCTGTCAGGGACCCGAGCTGTTTCGGTAGCTGATGTATAGAGGGACAAAGGGCGCATGGACCCTGCCTCTTCTCCACTGGAGACCACGGTCCTGTAGCTGAGGGGTGGCTTGGCCGTGTCCCTCGGAGTGCTCCCTCGGAGTGCTCGGGAACCTGGGGTGTTCCCTGCACACATGGTCCAGGCCGGCATCTGGCGTGGCATGGCATGACTGAGGAAGTCAGGACTGTGGTTGGACTTCAGTAGCCACAGGCATGACTGATGGGCAGCACACCCATGGGCTGTTCAAACTGATACGAGACGGTAGCGTAAGTTACAGTTCTGCAGAGACCTCATGGGATGGGGGTTAGCCTTTCCAAGGAGGGCACCATGGGCTGTGGGGTGACGTGTGCCTGTTGTGCTGCAAAGACTCTTTTACAGGAAATGGGAAGATGCCTGGTCACACGACAGGGATGCCACCCGCAGTACCCAACAGTGGGAAATAGGACAAATGACCTAATTTTTGAGCATATGATTGCAAGGAGGCATTGGAGGGGGGCGGCCTAGGTTCAGTCCTCAGTACCACACAAAAAAAGAATGCATAAAGTAGCTGTCTGATCTGCGGGGTGACCTTGTGTCTGTGGTGGTGTAGGGACCCACCCAACAGCACAGGCTGGGCCTCAGCCCTGCATCTGTTGGACCTGTGCCATCTGCTATGCTCTCTCCTGCCATTTCCTCCCAGGGCTACTAGGTGGTGGGCCACTTGGTGCCAGAGGGCTGTCTTCAGGACTCCTGGGCTGTTTCTGGGGCCTGTCCAGCTCCAGTCCCAGGTAGAAATGGAAGCGGCCATTTGGATGGGCAGAGCGCAAACCCCTCATGAGGCTGCAGCCTGTGGCATCCTCAGTAGAGCCATGGCATGTCTGGTTTTAGGAATTGCGGGGACTGTGACATGGTCTGTTTGTGCGTGCCTTTTGACTGCGGTGGTCTCTGTGCCCAGCTGCCTGGGGCCTTCCCGTTTCTGCCCTGGCTCCTCAGTGTCTTGTCTGTGGTGTCTCTCCCAGGCCTCAGCACCTGCCAGAGGAAGGCCCTTTCGAAACGTTTCCCCCTCAGTATAGAAAACCCACTGAGCACTGAGCTACATCCCCAGCCTCTCCCCGCTTTATTTTATTCTTTATTTATGGTACCGAGGATTGAACTTGGGACCTTGCTCTTGCAAGGCAGGCGGTGGCACCACTGAGCTAAATCCCCGGCCGTCCTCCTTTATTTTAATTCTGAGATATAGTCTTGTCAAGTTGCCCAGGCTGGGTTTAAACTTGGGATCCTCCTGCATCAGCCTCCCAGTAGCTGGGACTATAGGTGTGCGCCACTGCCCAGAGAGAAGGTTCTTACTTCCATCTGTGTGGTGGGCTTCTCGGTCCTCCTGCATTCCTGAGGGGACTTGTGTCTGGCCTGAGAGCTGGAGGCTCGGTGGTCATTGATGACATTGCTGCAAGAGGTGATCTGGCCCAGGACCTGTTGCATTGCTGGTCTATAGAAACCTGCTCGTGCCTGGTTGTTGTTGGCCAGCTCTGGAGTGGTTGGCTCTAAGGACTAGCATTTTGTGTTCAAACCTTTTACAGAGAAAAATCCTGGTGGGGGATGTAGCTCAGTAGTGCCTCTCACCTGCATGGAAAATGCAAGATTCTGTGTTCTATTGCCG